ACCTCTTTGCTCTGACGACATGTCAGCTTTAGAAATTCATGACAGTGGCCAATTTATAAGATCAACTCGGTCGATAAAACCACTATCTCTTAATATCCCCCACTGACGCAGCACTGCAGGTTCCTGAGAATCTTTCCCTCAGTTTACGTATTTATTTTTAACCAGTTTAGTTATGGTAATTTTGAAGAGATAAGCGGACAGGTTTTAGCTAAACACCATTTTTAATAACTCTGCCCTCCCACTCCCGTGAATACCTTATTCCCGAGCTTTTTCAATTATACTTTTCTTAATAGAGCTTGCGCTTGACAAATTTGTGTTTACATCTGTCAATGAAGTCCTTTTCTTTAAGTTATTGCTCCTCCTGGGAACAATCTGCTGCCAATTTGGGATTATTGTTGACAGGGTGCGTATATGATAATGAATTTTTCTTCCTGGGTGTATTAAATGCTGGGCTTGCCTTCTCCCAGACCATTGTCAGTGGCGCTGTCGTGTTTATAGGTTGAACTTTAATTTAGTGATACATCATGTTTCGGATCATAACGGTAGCTCGTTTTCTGTTGTCGTTTTTGGCTCTGATCCAGTTGTGTCGTCAAGGTATTGTATGTTTTTGTGTACATGCAGAATGTTTTTTAAAATTAGTGGGGGACAATTGCAAAGGCGTCTAGGGTCTCTAACCATTGAAAGTTTTATTAACATTACATAGCAATTGGACTTTCTGTATCAAGGTAAGTCGCTGTTAAAGATTCTTAGCCTTATATCGTGGTAACAACCAAAACAGTTTCACCGATCCATCTGCTGTTATTTATAGAATGAAAGGGTAGCTTGTTTAAACTAATTAAAATCTTTGTCTTGACGAATCTTCTTAAATATTATATGGACAGGATTTCTCGAGTAATCCTCCAAAACAGCATTAAAAAGATAAAATTCTTGGAAACGAAAACCCAAATTAAAATATCTGAGATTTAACTGATCAAAAGCGTGTTTTGTTGCATATCCCAGATTAGTAACCAAATTGATGGTTTGACATTTCTCAAACCGTTCGACGTGTATGCGTCGAATTATAACTCATCGATAAGTAGTTACTCAGAATTCAGTATTTCAGCTCTTTTTTTTTTATTGATACTTCGCAAAAAAACTATCAAGAATGAAGAATTTTCAACACTTAACAAATTTGAAAGCGTCATCTTCAGTATGATAAATTCCTTGCGTGGCGGCGAAGAACGCTTTAATTTCGCGATAATCGGTACATTAGTTGAATTGGATTATTCGGTTTTCTTTGTTGAATACCAATGTCTCCTGGCAACTGGAAAGAATATAAAGTAAGAAAGAAAGAGAGAAAGAAATAAAGAAAGATACGAAGAGAGAAATCTAAGAAAGAGAAATGTCAGATATACTGCCTCTTGATTATATAATGACTTCCCAAAAACGAAAAATCTTTCTTTTAAATCAAAATCCTCTGGGAACACCTTTCCCTTTTGCAGAGTCGGGATACTTTTAATTCAACACCTTTGCATTATAAGAGTAATTCAAACGTGAAATTGACAGCATGCCACTGATAAAATTGATATCTAAGCTCTTAGCTTGATAAAAAGATTTCATTTATAACTTCGGTTTTTTTTTTAAATAAATCACAGTTCTTAGACTTTCATATAATTCACTATATATATTTTAGGTTTGATTTACGGATGTTTTAGAAAGTCACAGCTTTAATTAAAGATGGGCGGGAAAGATCTTGGAGGAAAGAAGAGGGAAGCGATCCACGGCTTAAAAAGCGCTCAGGAATATTACACGTCAAACTTTGATAATATTACGATGTTACACAACATTATGTCGGGAACAATGATTTAATTTGAGGTTTCATTTCTTTTCGGAACCATCTAATTATCTTTGAGCAACTTTAACAGTCCTTCTGTAAAAGTGTTAACCTGTTTTGAAGAAAATATCACCTCGATGGATTTTACCCTATTTAATTAAAGGAGAGTATTTGAAAAAAATAGTATGAAATAAAAATCCTATTACGACCGCCTGGACAAAATACACAAAATAACGATCTTTTTCGCCTTTCGGTCGATGATAAACGCTTTAATTTTAGCGTGCAATCGAAGCTATTTACATTGTCTGCTTGATTTCCTCTTCTAGATAATATGAAAGTCTAAAGTTTCCATATGGATGTAAAAGATATTACACGCAAAATAATGCCGGAATATTTCCATACTAGGAACGGCCAAATCAGTTTGAAAGGTAGTTGGTTCTAGGTGGACTAACATAAATTTTCCCCCCCTCTAAAACTTTACAATTTTGTTTCAAATACCTACTGCCGCGAAAAGCGACAAGATAAGAATCCAGTGTCTCTACTTTGACGTTTAATCATGCGAGTTTTCCTTAGCTTGACATTTGGTTGTATTTACTGATATTTATTTTCATGCATACGCGCATTTTGATGTTTAAACTATTAATCGAAATCAGTTTCCTATTAAATAACAATCTCATTTCATGATTGAATTAGTTAACCAGGCACCTTGTTAAATTAAAATTTTGTTTGCGTGATTATCTCCGGAAAATGGCACTTGGATTTGCAAGGATTAATGTATTACAGGTCAAGAGCTGAGCTAATTTTAATGAATCAAACGTTCCCCTTCAGAACAACTCTGGAGGTGATAGACCAAGGTATTCATGTAGGGGATTATTCCAACGGAAACAGTCCTTTCTGTTTAACCATTTGGTTCTAATTCGCGTGGTTAAGCTTTAATTAATATGTCACAAGACCACTGTTATTGAAGGAGGAGCCTACAAGCTACTGGGGACCTTAAGCAGTCAGGCCGGCAACGCTAAGGAAGACGTCGATTAAAAAATAAATTTCTACTGTGAAGTAGAATTTCGAAAATGGCTGCATGTGTTTACCATCCCATACGGCGCCACAACCCAGCCTCAACATATATTATAAAAGTAGCGTTGAGTTCCGAATGGAAATTAAAATAATTTGCCGTCGCGGTTTCGGTTTGCAGACGACACAAATTTTGGTGAATTCACGTTGTTGTTTTGCAAAGGACGGCTAAGAAATGTACTCAGTTTTAAAATGCACGTCCTGAGCTGTTGTTCTGTGCCGTTTAGATCTTTTGTTTTTCCACGGCCTCGTTGCCGTCGCCGTCGGGGTTAGTTTAAGGTCCCTACTGTTTTAACAGAAAAATATTGTATACAATTGAAAAAACGATGCGAAACAAATTAACTTTGACTACTACATCGCGCTGCGCGTTTTGCTGACTTCGTAGCGATTTTGGCTTTTTTTGTTCTATTAACTCTTCAAACCCTACGAGAGACCAGCATCTAATTTCTCCTTACAGTAAAACTGATGAATCATTCATTGAAGTTATGAGAATAGAGGAAATGAACATCAACCAAAGACGCTCCTGATTGTCAAACAAATTCTCCTCGTTAGCACTGGAAGAAATGTATAGAAAGGGTATGGAGAATATGAATATTGGTCTTAGGGTGCAAAAGGTTTATCGTCCGAGGCTGAGTGGCGGCGGGTTTATGCAAATCACAACTCGGAGCACTCGCTTGTAAGATAGGGGAATGGAAATAAATGTTGCGTAAGACGTTTTAAGCACACGCTCTTTCAAACTTTGACCCTGATTGAACCGATGCGGTTGATATACTTTGGTCCTAACGTGCATCATACTTAATAGAGGGGACTGGTTATGAAGGCCGGCATACATGAAAGGGCCGGCCTATTGTTCGGCTCCTGAGGTTGAAACGGACCGTGACGTCACGCGAACGTGCACATCCTTGATTTGCACTACAAAGCAACATGGCGGATAGTAGTGAACTTTTTATTTTCGGAGACGAATTTGATGCCATTTTAGACATTTTAGAAGAAGAAGAAGAGCTAGATGAATACTTTACAAAAGCTGCTGACGATGTAAGTATTATAACCTTCCTCATCAGTTTAAAAAGCGAGAGAAAACAACTGTTTTGCTATGCTTGACAGTTCAAGTTCAACTGTTTATAGTGCTTTTATGTTGGGTATTCTGTATTTTTTTTCAATATCATATCTATTTTTAATAGGTCGAATTCGATGACCTAGTATGCGAACTGTGTTCCAAGAAATGCAAAAGCAAGATTGGGATAAAGGGACACAAAACAGCGAAGCACAAAGACCAAAATAGTGCAGATTCGTCCGAAAAGCCAAGGGAAACAGAGCAGTTCACCTTCGAGATTTATTGTGAAATCATCCACAAAGCAAAAGCCGCAATAGTTAAAAAGAAATTTTATCCAAGTTCGATTAGAGAGGAAATAAATACCAACCAAACAAATCCAGCTAATGGAGGTATAAGCGATCATTGGGTTAGCCCACATTACCTAACAATAACCATACAATTTGCATATTTACGGAATGATAAATGGTGTTTTAATGACTTAACCCTAACCCTAAAAAGCAGCCTAACCCTAACTTTTTCTTCTGATTCTACATTAAATATACCTACTTGGTTGTTTAATGCTGAAAATGAGCTGGGATGTGTGTAGTAATGTGCAGACCATATGCAACCATGTAACCTTGCTGCTCTCTTAAATGGACTTTTATAATTATAGACAATACTACTGTACACAGAGATACAAGTACATACATTTTAGTTTTGAGATGTGAAAAAAAAATAAATACAATTCAAGCCACAATGAAATGTTCTTTTTTATCATATGGTTACTGGTGTTTTGCCACACAAGACAGAGCAGTTCTTTGTTCTCCAATATTCTTGATGCGGAAATGAGCTATCACTGTCAGCGAACAATGGATCGACGGGCTTGGGAATCGAGTGATGAACTATTTTGCTAGATAACTCATAAGGCTCAACACCAGCACAGATTTACAGGCTATTGATAGATTTGATAAGATCTGAGAGAGTTAGATTGCAAACTGATGTCAAGTTTGTAGTATACATTTCATGGTCTTCTGGAAGTAGCCATCCATATACAGAAATTGAAAACCCAAGGCTGTCATCGATCATTAGCTCAATTTCTGGAAGTATTACTGCTGCTGTTTTCTTTTGAAAAAGCAGTCTATCGCTAAGTTCATTCACCGTCCATTCCTGCGATGTTTTCAGCGTTTTGACTCTTTTACATACTTCAATAAAGCTGCTAAAATATTTCTTGTTGACTTCAGCCGCTGGTTGATCTTGCACAACAGACCTCAATGGTCGTGAAGGAGGGTTTACCGAATCATGACTTCTCTTTGGAAAATTTAAAGTCAGTAAAGCTCCAAACTTAAGCTTTTTCTTTACCATTTTTCCGATGGAACTGAAATAGAAATAAAAGAAAAGCAATATTAATATGAACAAGCACGAATACTGCAGTTGGTACTGCAGTAAGCGTGTAGGTTTGTGAGCTGGCCAAACAGAATTGTAAAAACAAAAATTACTCGAAAACTTACATGTTTCGATATCCTTTGGATCGAAATGCTTCTCACATGTAAATACTTTTCCTTTATCGATTTGATAAATCTTTGTCGATAATTCTTGTTTTGGTCAGCTGATTCAGCCACTCTTTGCGCCATTTTTCATACTCGGCATTTCGCAGCGAGGGCAACTTAAATATGCCGATTCCTTTCGTTCTACCACATGTACCGCAACCAAACACGGCACAGTTGTCGCCAGGCATTGTAATTTCGAGTTTCGATACTTAAATAAACTGTTCCGGTAGACAGAACTACATCATGACGCTTTAGAAACAGATCAAACCACGTACACAAGTCTTCTAGCTTGCCGCAACCTTGAATGTGTGTGCACGGTCACGGTCACGCTTGGTTGGCTTCGATAAACTCGAACAATAACCTAGCTCTCTGATGTATGCCGGTCTTCATAACCAGTCCCCTCTATTAGCTATGCGTGCATGTTTGAGCAGGAGATCTAAACTGCTGAAGCCACAAGATAAAAGCCTACAGGAATAACATATAGCCTCTCTTTTCAATGTGCAGGTGAAGCATGGCAGTGTAGTAGCTGTGAAGTTCCATATAAAGCTCGTGGTTGCTATGGGGACAGTCCTGCACGTGTATTTAACGTACAAGTCCTGAACGAGCGAGACCCAAGGAGTAAAGTCTATGGCGGACGGAGGATTGATTGGAGTGACTGGAATAGGTACATGGAGGGTTTTGCCTGTAGATGCGCTAAGCTTGTCAAAGCTAAAGGGTGGACTGTCTTTGGTTTGCAGTTTTATGGTAAGAGCAAATCAGAACTAAATTACAAAATTTTCCATTTCATATACTAATACTGTTATACTGTCACATTTCATATTCTGATATTGTTATAAAAAAAGATATTGCACACGCCTTTCAGATCACTTTACAATCCATCATTTCAGATAAAGGCTACATTCCCGGCAGACTGACACGGTTGGTTCCAATTGCATGAAAAGTCTAAGAGTATTGCGACCCACCACCCTCCCCTCCCCCTTCCCCACTTAATGAGAGTATTGCTACATCCCCACCCCCCTCCCAGAGGGCATGTGAGTCCATCACATGCAAGTTAACATTTACCTCTAGGAAGTGTTCCTAACAGTTTATTGGTGCTCGTGTCTTTTCCAGATTAGAAATAAGACTTGAATTGTGCGAGTACATTTCTAAATAACGAGCTTTTCTAATTTGCTAGCTATCGATAGACGTCTTGCCTAGACTGGCGATAGCTAGAAATGTATTCTAGAGCTCAAAACTGTGCCGAAAAAAGCGTGAACCTAGACATTTCAATCCACACAGTCCAGATTCTCAGTCCGAGCTTGGTAACCCTTCAATAAAACTCTTCTTAAAAAGTGCCATTTTATCGGGTGCTACTGATTATATTGTATTATCACATCAATAATAATAAGTATTAAATTATAAATATTTAAATATTTAGGGGAATGCTGGAGTGGACCTGAAGGAAGTTATGATCTTGAGAGTATGAAACAAAAATCTACCTGTATCTCGAATGATTATAAGAAATGCGGGAAGTTTGACAGAAACTGTATTGGAGAACAGTGGACTAACTTTGTGTTTGAACTCGGTGAGGAACTTAAGTTAGCATAAAATGAAAAGCTTCCTTAATATATTAAGGCATCAAAAGCGCTCGCGTTCGTTACATCTATGGACACATAACTGCTTAAAATGGAGCTGGTATAAATTTTGTTTGTTTCTAATCCACCGTGTTAAGGTCAAATTAAAATAGTTATAGTATTTTCTAACAAGGAATTTTCAACTATCTTCTCATTAGATATTCTTTATCAAGAAACATAACACGATTTGTTATTTAAAGGGCTGCAGGTACACGGAGCTGACAAAATGGGTTTGGCTCCACCAAAAACCTCGGCAAAGTTTTTCTCATCCAAATTTTTAATACGTCAATCGTGGGTGCACCGAAAAAAAAAAGAGAAATATTTGCAAACCAAAATGCATCAATCACAGATATACAAATTGAAAAGTACTGAAAGACTCGCATTTTAAAAGTGAGATCAAATTTTCTTTATCGTGGTTTTCCTCCAAATCATGGCGCGTAAACTGAAAAGCTGTCAGATTTTGCCTGACAAAAAAATTTGTCCCGTTCCAAGGCAGGACGTAGGCACCTTTGAAAATTGTTAAGGCTTGACATAATTTGGTAGGGAAAAATCATTGGGCGCATTTGTCTCACCTCACCCCATTGAAATTTTTAACAGTCATTTTTTCAAGATAGACAAAAGATTTACGAAGTGCGCCTGGGCCCTTAAACAGGTGCCCGCAAGTGCGCATCCTACATAGATGGAAGACGCCCCTGCCAACCTCATTAAAATGAAATTCTGCATTCTGTAATTTTCCGTTTACATTTGTTTAGAATCTGACTGTGAAATAGATTTTGAGAGAATTGGCTGCTTCAAAGACAACAAGAGGAATCCACGCCCTCTTCCTGAATATGAAATGACAGACAGAGAGTCCAGACTGAAGATTTACAGTGGACAGCCTATAGATTGGAGGAACTGGGATGTGTATCTGCCAAGATTTGTCTGTCGCTGCGCAAAGTTAGCCAAAGAGAAAGGCTTCAAAACGTTTGGAGTTCAGTATTATGGTACGAAAGGACGACAAGCTTTTGTTCATGAGAAAGCCAGTTGGCACACTTGTGTAACGAAAAAAATTAGAATTATTGGTCACTCTTAAGATCCAGTCTGTGAAAACTGATTCATGTAGTTAAATTTGTTTTCTTTAGGTGAATGCTGGAGTGGTCTGGGAGGAGAAAGGACTTATAGTAAGCTGGGCCTGTCTGGGAACTGTGTAGACAAGTGTTTTGACAAGTGCAAGCCCTTTGAGAAACACTGCTCAGGGAAAAACTTTGCGAATGCAGTCTACCGACTTTCAGGCTAGTCAGGATCATGTTGCTATCACCGTTTCTGTTTTTTTAGAGCAGTTTTTCATAGAGTGTCAAAAGTAATCTACGATTATATTTGTTTGGCCTTACTCCGCTTTGGGATTGGTGGAAAAGGGCACGTCATCGATCCTTTTAGCCAATCAGACGCAAAGCTGAAACCAACTGCAACTTGGTCATTTCACCCGCGTTTTAAGCAGTTTGCTTGTATTTTCTTTGAGATCTTACAGTCTTTTGAAAGTATTTTCCATCGCTCTGATTGGCTGCTGTGACGACTGCGGTTTTGGTTTTACTACACTCAATAAAAAAACTTTCTGTATTCACAAATCACAACTACCTTCACTAAGCGAACAAGTTGCGGTTACGTCACTTGACTGATTTCAAGTAAGACAAATGTGAGTTCGTTAAGTAGAAAGTTCTTGGAATGACCAAGCAAAGTCACATCCGGGATGTTCATCTCTCACACATCCGGGTTATTTTACTTCCAGATGCCGAATGTGAGATACCACACGAGGCTGTTGGTTGTTATGGTGAAGTCTCGTACCCCAAACGCGCCCTCCCTGACGAACTTGTGAATGAGGTGAAGCCTTATAGTAAGGCATTCAACGGAGTGATTATGGAATTTGGGGACACCTGGAAGGAAGGTTTCAAGAAATTCCTATGCAGATGTGCGAGGAAAGCTGTGCTAAAAGGGTACACCTTGTTTGGTGTTCACGAACATGGTGAGTTAAGACGTTTAGGCAAGCTACAGAAAAGTGCGTTGAATAATAATGTAGACGAAACATAAACGATCGACCATCTCAAAACGTGAAGTAAGGTATATGACATCAAGCGCGGGAAAGCATTTGGCAGGCGAAAAGTGTTAGCTTGGAACACAAAAAGGTTCTCCATCAGAGAAGAAGGGGAAGTTTTCACAACCAATGCAAAACGGCGGTAAAATCGACCGAACGGTGACAAGACATTCGAAAAATTGGCATCCGGAAACGCGCGTCAAGGCGAGAAAATCAATATGAACGACAGGACGCGGGAAAAATTGGCCAGTGGTAACAAACGCTGAAAAACTCCGCAAAATTGGGTCATATTATTTGACGAGCTTCTTTAAAAATTATTAACGGTGATAGCCTGTAAAACAAGAAACCGTTATCATTTTCAAAGTCCAATAAAAGAAAAGATAACGAAAGGAATCACATAGCAAGTTAAGTAATCAATTGACCACTTTTGTTTATTTTTGCAGGTGAATGTTGGAGCGCAAGTAATGCTGAGGAAACTTACAACAAGTATGGCGCATCAGATCAGTGTTTCCAGAACTTTAACCAAACTTGTACCGCAGGCTCCAGCACTTGCGCCGGAGGCACGAATGCCAATTTTGTCTACAGGATTGTCATGCGATAAAGCGTGATTTATTGTAATAACAATAAAGCGTTAAATAACATATAATTTCATCTTTATTGATGCCGTACAAGTATTCTTATCAATTTAATTAGTGTAAGTTTTCAATAGCCTTTTCTGCGCCAGAGCCACTCGTTTTTACTCACTGTCACTTAACATTTTCCGACCACGTAATTAAAAACAACTAGGATTCTGGGAACGAGAATGTGATATGATATATAGCTGTTTGAAGAAAGGTTGTCAGAAAAAAGGACAAAGTGCACGATACAATCTCCAAAGGCAATCTAATTCAAATAAGTTAAACAAATAAATTTGGATATATCAACAAAGTTGAAATGGTAAATTGGCCACCGTAAAGAGTTTCAAAACTAACGTTTTGAGCGTTGGCCCTTCGTCACTCGCTCTTACGAAGGGCTAACGCTCGAAACGTCAGTTTTAAAACTCTTTACTGTGGTCAGTATACATTCTCAACTCATTTAATAAAAACCAAAATTCAGGGCTTGAAAACAAAAAAAATTATCGATCCCAATTTGCGTGTAATTCCTAAAATTTAGTCGCAAGTTGGAAAATTTAGTCGCAAAAGTAACCTACCTCTGCCGGAACTGGAAATTAGTAACGAAGATTTCCTAGAAATTTCACGAGCGTTGCACTACGTAGTGCGATACATTTCTCAGCAAGAAATCAACCATAAAAGTCACGCAACATTTAACTTGAATTTCGCAGGATTTTTAGGATAAAACTACAGTAACCAGGAAGAAGTAAGACACAAGGCTGTTAAATATGATTTATTTATAAGCTGGGCTGTAAAGCGGTCGCAAAATCGCTACTAATAGAGAAATTTTTAGTCGCAGAAGTGAAATCCTTATTCGCAAATGCGCCCGATACAGGCGCAATTTCAAGCCCTGAAATTACCGTGTTATACTCCCTCACCGATGCGTCACCACAGTTTCTTTACAAACTTACCCCCTTTACCCTAAAATCAAACGTTTTACACCTTAACATCAGAATTCATATTCTCCATACTGCTTTCTATACACTTCCCGAGAAGCTGAGCAGGAGAATTTGTTTCACAATCAACTTTCTCCAGATGGTGATCATTTCCTTTATTCTCCTGACCTTAATGTG